CCAATACGTGGGAGAAAGAGGGGGAAGCTGGCGATCCGTAAAAACACATGGGAAATTCAACGCGCAAGATGCCATTAAGACCCCCCCCCAGGACGGCCACTAAGATCGCCCCAGGACGCCCAAAAGGGTCCCGAAACGGCCGAGGAGGACGCCAAGACAGCTCAAGAGGACACCCAAAGAAGGCCCAAGAGGTCTCCAAGACAACCCCAATACACAGGGAAATGGGGGGAGGCTGGCGGCCCCGAAAAACAAATGGAAAATGCAACGCGCAAACTGTAACTAAGATCGCTCCAAGACGCCCAAGAGGCGCCCAAGTGGGCCCCGAAACAGCACAGGAGGACGCCCACGACAGCTCAAGAGGACCCCCAAGGAAACCCAAGAGGCCTCCAAGACAACCCCAGTACATGTGACAACAGGGGGGGGCTAGCGGCCCCTAAACACATGGGGAATGCAACGCGCAAGAGGCCATTAAGATCGCTAGATCGCTCCACGACAGTCCAAGAGGGTCCCGAAACGGCCGAGAAGGACGCCAAGACAGCTCAAGGGGATCCCACAGAAAGCCCAAGAGGCTTCCAAGACGATCCCAATCCATGGGAAAAGGGGGGGGGGCTGGCGACCCCTAAAAACACATGGGAAACACCCAAGAAGGCCCAAGGGGCCTCCAAAACTGGCGACCCATAAAACAACTACGATCGCTCCTAGACGGCCCGAAAGGCGCCGATGATGGTCCCAAAACGGCCCGGGAGAGCGCCAAGGCAGCTCAAGAGGACCCCCAGGAAGGCCCAAGCGGCCTCCCGGACGACCCCAATCCATGGGACAATGGGGGGGGGCTGGCGACCCGTAAAAACACATGGGAAATGCAACGCGCAAGAGGCCATTAAGACCCCCCCAGGACAGCGACAGAAGCGCCTAAGAGCGTCCCAAAACGGCGCCCAGGAGGACGCCAAGACAGCTAAGAGGACCCCCAAGAAGGCCCAAGGGGCATCCAAGACGGTCCAAGGGGGTCCTGCAACGGCCCAGGAGGACGCCAAGAGTGCTCAAGAGGACACCCAGGAAGGCCCAAGAGGCCTCCAAGACTGGCGACCCCTAAAACCACTACGATCGCTCCCAGACGGCCCAAAAGGTGCCGAGGATGGTCCCGAAACGGCCCGGGAGGGCGCCAAGGCAGCTCAAGAGGACCCCCAAGAAGGCCCAAGCGGCTTCCCGGACGACCCCAATGCATGGGACAATGGGGTGGGGGCTGGCGACCCGCAAAAACACATGGGAAATGCAACGCGCAAGAGGCCATTAAGACCCCCCCAGGACAGCCACAGAGGCGCCTAAGAGCGTCCCAAAACGGCGCCGCGGAGGAAGCCACGACAGCTCAGAGGACCCCCAAGAAGGCCCACGGGGCTTCCAAGACGACCCCAATCCATGGGACAACAGGGGGGAGGCTGGCGACCCCCTAAAACGAATGGGATATGCAACGCGCAAGCTGCAACTAAGATCGCTCCAAGACGGCCCAAGAGTGTCCCGAAACAGCACAGGAGGACGACACGACAGCTCATGAGGACCCCCCAAGACGGCCCAAGAGGCCTCCAAGACAACCCCAATCCATGGGAGAATGGGGGGGAGGCTGGCGACCCCTGAAAACACATGGAATGCAACGCGCAAGTAGCCACTAAGATCGCTCCAAGACAGCCCAAGAGGGTCCCGAAACAGCCGAGGAGGCCGCCAAGACAGCTCAAGATGACCCCCAAGAAGGCCCGAGAGGCCTCCAAAACGATTTCAATCCAGGGAAAATGCGGGTGGGGCTGGCGACCCCTGAAAACTTATGGGAAATGCAACGCGCAAGATGCCACTAAGATGGCTCCCAGACGGCCCAAGAGGCGCCCAGGACGGTCCCAAAACGGCCGTGGAGGCCGCCAAGACAGCTCAAGAAGACCCCCAAGAAGGCTCAAGAGGCCTCCCAGACGAACCCAATCCATGGGAAATTGGAGGGGGGTGAGGCTGGCGACCCCTAACACACATGGAACGTGCAAAGCGCAAGAGGCCACTAAGATCGCTCCAAGAGAGTCCAAGAGGGTCCCGAAACGGCCCAGGAGACCGCCAAGGCAGCTCAAGAGGACGCCCAACGAAAGCCCAAGAGGCTTCCAATACTACCCCAACCCATGGGAAAATGGAGGGGGAGGATGGCGACCTCTTAAAACATACGGGAAATGTAACGCGCGAGAGGCCGCTGAAATCGCTCCAACACGGCCCGACAGCCCAGGAGGAAGCCACGACAACTTAAGAGGACACCCAAGAAAGCCCAAGAGGCCTCCCGGACGACCCCAATCCAAGGGACAACAGGGGGGAGGCTAGCGGCCCCTAAACACACACGGGGAATGCAACGCGCAAGAGCCCACTAAGATCGCTCCAAGACGGCCCAAGAGGGTCCCGAAACTGCCCAGGAAGCCGCCAATACAGCTCAAGAGGACCCCCAAAGAAGGCCCGAGATGCCTCCAAAGAGGGGCCCCAAGAGGGCCCCCTTCCGAAACATATAATGTGTTTCGATGGCTCTTCCCGCCCCCTCCCGAAACATATACTATTTTTCGGAGGCTCTTCCCTCTTAGGGCCGTTTCGTTCCCCTCCCACGGCCTCCTCGGGCGCCCAATAAAAGGTCAAGGAGGGCCCGGGAGGGCTCCAAGACGGCCCTAGCGAGCCCCGAGAGTGCACCCTCCCGAAACATATAATATTGTTCGGTGGCTCTTCCCGCCCCCTTCCGACCCCTAAAGAATATATGAAATGCAACGCGCAAGTAGCCTCTAAGATCGATCCGAGACGGCCCGGAGGACGCCAAGACAGCTCAAGAGGACCCGTAAGAAGGCCCGAGAGGCCTCCAAGAGGACCCCAATAATGGGAAACTAAAAGGGAGACTGGCGACCCCTAAAGACACATGGGAAATGCAACGTGCAGGAGGCCACTGAGATCGCTCCCAGACGGCCCAAGAGGCGCCCAGGAGAGTCCCAAATCAACCCAGGAGGATGCCAAGACAGCTCAAGAGGACCCCCAAGAAAGCCCAAGAGGCCTCCCGGACGACCCCAATCCAGTGGAAAATGCGGGGCAGGTTGGCGACCTCTGAAAACACACGGGAAATGCAACGCTCAGGAGGACGCCGAGACAGCTCAAGAGGACATCCAAAGAAGGTCCAAGAGGCCTCCCACACGAACCCAACCTTTGGGAAATTGAGGGGGAGGCTGGCGACCCGGAAAAACACATAGGAAATGCAATGCGCAAGAGGCCACCAAGATCGCTCCAAGACGGTCCAAGAGGGTCCTGAAGCGGCCCAGGAGGACGCCAAAACAGCTCAAGAGGACCCCCAAAGAAGGCCCCAAATGCCTCTGAGACGACCTCAATCCACGGGAAAATGGGGGGAGGCTGGCGACCCGTAAAAACACATGGAACATGCAACGCGCAAGAGGCCACCAAGATCGCTCCAAGACGGCCCAAGAGGCGCCCGAGAGGGTCCCAAAACGGCCCAGGAGGACGCCAAGACAGCTCACGAGGACCCCCAAGAAGGCCCAAGAGGCCTCCAAGACGAGTTCAGGACATGGGAACATGGGGGGGCTGGCGACCCCCCAAAAAGACATGGGAAATGCAACGCGCAAGAGGCCACTGAGATCGCTCCAAGACGGCCCAAGAGGCGCCCAAGCGGGCCCCAAGACGTTCGAAGAGGACGCTACGACAGCTCAAGAGGACCCCCTAAGAAGGCTCAATATGCCTCCAAGACGAGTTCAGGACATGGGAAAATGGGAGGGAGGCTGGCGGCTGGCGACCCCCCAACATACATGGGAAATGCAACGCGCAAGAGGCCACTAAGATCGCTACCTGACGGCCAAGGCGCGCCCAGGAGGGTCCCAAAACGGCCCGGGAGGACGCCAAGACAGCTCAAGGGGACCCCCAGGAAGGCCCAAGAGGCATCCAATATCCATGGGAGAATGCAGGGTCGGCTGGCGACCCCTGAAAACACACATGGGAAATGCAACGCGAGAGAGGCCACCAAGATCGCTCCAAGACAGTCCAAGAGGGGACGCCAAGACAGCTCAAGAAGACCCCCAAGAAAGCCCAAGAGGCCCCGAACCCGAAACAAAAACACAACGAAAATGCAACGCGCAAGGATCCATCAAGATCGCTCCAAGACATTCTAAGAGGGTCTCGAAGCGGCCCCGGAGGACGCCAAGACAGCTCAAGATGACCCCCAAGGGAAGCCTAAGAGGCCAACCCAAAAACACCAATCCATGGGAAAATGGGGGGGTGCTCGCGACCATTTAAAACATATGGGAAATGCAATGCGCAAGAAGCCACTCATCATTCTCAGACTGCCCAAGAGGGTCGCGAGACGGCCCAGGAGGACGCCAAAACAGCTCAAGAGGACCCCCAAGAAGGCCCAAGAGGCCTCCCAAACGACCTCAATCCACGGGAAAACGGGGGGGAGCTGGCGACCTTTAAAAACACATGGGAAATGCAACGCGCAAGAGACCACTGAGATCGCTCCCAGACGGCCCAAGAATCGCCCAAGAGGGTTCCAGAATGGCCCAGGAGGACGCCAAGACAGCTCAAGAGGACCCCCGAGAGGGCCCAAGAGGCCCGCCAAACGACCCCATATGCATGGGTGAATGGGGTCGGAACGCTTGCGCGATTCATCCATCGGGCGCATCTACACCCATACATACATACATATACATATATATATATATATATATATATATATATATAGATATATGTATAAGTATGCATCCCTCTCTCTATATTTATAGATTACCGATGGCTGGGGAACGTCTAGACCAGCGGACCAATCAATCAGCCAACCCAAAGAATTCGCGGGCCCGCGCGGGGCAAAGCTTATGAGGTCCTCACTGGGCTTCATTTTGTCCCCTGGGGCCCCCTACAGCGGCTGGGAAGCGGCCCGGTAAAATGTCGTACAACGCACCGCCAATTCAGTGAGGCAACCGCACAGGAGGGAGAGGGGCATCCGACAGGCGACAACCCGCCCACGCCTGCATCCACATGGGCACCGTGTGGCGCCAGGCATGCCCCCCTTCCGCCGCCCGCCTCAACCCCCGCATCTGCCACCTCCTTCGCCTTCCCCTTCTCCTCCTCCTCTTGTCCTTGCCCCCTTCTCCTTCTCATCCTCCTCCTTCTCCTGCCCCCGTGGGCGCTTTGGGAACGGCAGTCCTCCTGGCCGCGCGCGCCCGCCTTCTCTCCTGATGAGTCGGAGGCTGGTCAGGCGCCCATCTACCGCTCTAAGGCTTGAATTACGCACGCAGCCCACTTGCGCGTCAGCTCCGCTGGATAGGCCGCAGTAAATCTAGAGGGCACGCAATCCTTGTCAGACTTGTCCCTGCGCCACCCGCTCACGGTTTGGTGGGGGCGCCCATTGCATTGGCACTTGAGGGCAATATTCGTTAGGTCTAAACTGTTCGTCGTCCATATAGTCGTGCGTTTGCGGTATCTCTGCCCATATCGGCACATGTCGAAAGTGTGAGGGGTTGCTTGGCAAGATATGGCCCAATCCACGAAATCCTTGCAATGCCACATGTAAGAACACCTCGGGTTCTCCAGGCTCACGAAAACCCCGCGGTTGGAAGCCAAGGTCGCGAAGTCGAAAGTGGCCTGCGTGATCTTCTTAGACTTCTCGAGTAGGACGATGTCGGAAGCGTTCCGGAGCGACGAAGATGGGAAGCCCTCTGGGTGCTCAAGGCTCCTCTGGGAGGTCGGGCGCAGAAATCCCCACCTGCGCCCTCCTTCCATAACTGAGCTTGGGGGCAAGACTGCTCGAACCTGTCCGTAACTCGGCATCGCTTGGACGCGTGTATTTCTCTCGGCGGGGACCATCTAGAAGCATCCTGGGCCATCGAGCAAGAAAAACACGCGCGAAACCGAACAACAACAAGGGAATGGACGTCCGAGCGATGGCAAGGCAACCCGAAATCCCCACGCGCCCCCCCCCCCGGACCAGTCTGGTGTCTGGAGCACGATTCGCCCATCATCCTCAACGCTGGTTGTCTGGCCGGCGAGCATGTAGAACACGGTGGAGCGAAGTGCATGTATTTCACGTGCCCTGAGAGCACGCATTGTTTGATGTGTTGTTGTACTTCAGGGTCCAATATATCATGGCCTGCAAGGATGTCCATGGCGACGCACGTGATTTTCCCGGTGGAATTCAAAGCCTTCGTGAGTTCCCCTTTGCCAGCGAAGATCTCCAGAGCCTGGGGGGCGTGCTTCATAAAGAAACACGCGCACACAGCCACATATATTAAATTGAACACAGTTGGCCGCAGGCCGACTATTGGATGCGCGTCTCGTTGCCCGCGCAGCCCTGATGTTGTTTTGACGCCCAGAGGTTTTCGTCGCCGTGGCTGGATGCGGCTCGAAGAAGAAGAAAAAACCAGGATGGGCCACAGAGGAAAAAGGAAAAAGGATAGGAGGGAAAAAGCGAGACACTACGGGAGGAGGGGCCAATAATGAAGAAAAGCGAGGAAAGATGAGTGGGAGGGCGATCCGGAAATTGGAATCTGATCGCAACATTTTGCGAATGGGATGGGGCGGCGCCGGCCCACTTGCAACGCGACCTGCCTGCGCCCGGGGGGGCGAGCTCACGTGGTTGAGCGGCATGCGCTTGCCAAGGGTTGGTTGCCGCACCTCCTCATCCTCAGAGTCTGACAGCACGGAGACTGCTGGCCGTTGCCGCTTCATCTAAAAGTAAGGGGGCGGGCGGCGGTGTTGACCTAAATCAGCCTTGACTTGAGTTGAGGTTGCTGCGCATTCTCCTGCTTCGAATCTCCTTTGCCTCGCTCCTTGCGCAGGCCACAACGACTGCGGCAACAACGAAGGCCTGCAAACGCGTGCGACATGGGGTGGCCCTCCTTTCTTTCCTCCTCCTCCTCCTCCGTGTCCCCCTGCGCCCCCCTTCTCCTGCCTCTCCTCCTCGTCCTCTTGTTTTTGATGAGTGCCTGGGCCCCCTCTCGCGATTGAAATGCCCCGTGGGCGCCCGATCCTCGTCCAATGCCAGGGGCTTTGCGTGGGCCCTCAAAGCGTTGTGTAAAGGCGCGCCACGTTCGCTGATTCCCCCCTAGCCGAGCCATGCCCTAAGGAAAAGAGTAGGGGGAGGAGGAGGAGGAGGAGGAGGAGGAGGAGGAGGAGGAGGAGGAAGACCATGCTGAGGGGGAAGGAGGATCGGCAGGTGTCTGGATCGACGTAATCAGCTGAGCTCCCCTATCGGGGAAAAAAACACAGCGGCAACATGCAAGGAACATGATTGCCCAAAACTGTTTTCACACCTGATCCCGAGGCCCCCCAGTTCGCCGTAGCAGGAAGAAGAGGGGCAATTGGAGGTGGAGCTGGGGAGGCGGAGTGGGGGGCGAATCACAGAGACGCGCGCGCAGCGAGTGGACTTTTTTTCATTGTTACCAGCAGCCCCATCTGCCAGCAGCCATCGCCCCTAATCGAAAAACAAACTCTCCTCAGGATCTGGCGCCTCCTGTTCGGAGTCATCGCTATTAGCTATCTCCTCAACCAGGCCAGGGCCTCCAACTTCCTCCCTGGGCAGCGTGGCGCCACCTTGACACCACACCTCTTCGGCGAGACGCACGGCCTCATCCCAGCAGGTTCCAGGATTCTCGTGCTGGATCTGCACAGCAAGGGGGTACACAAATACGGCGCGCTTAGACGCATTCTTCTCCAGCTTCTTCAGGCTGGCCCCCCATTTGAACCCTGGCGGGCCAACCGCCATTGAATTGCGGCATGGCTCCAAATCTAACGCGGGGCACGTGGCTATGTCAGGGCGCTCCTCCAAAGCGGGGCGCCGGGCACTGCCATTCACAATCCACCAGGCCCTGGTCAGGGCCTCTACCAGGCTGCGCTTCTGCTGGGCAGAGGGCTCAAGGACACGCTAGACACGTCGGCCCGAGTAGAAGGGTCGCCGGAGCTGGGCTGAGCCGAGTCGGGTGTTTCCTCGCACAGGGGGGCGGGGTTGCTCAATCGGAACACCGCGGCAAGCGTTTGACATGTAAGATGCGTCTAAGACGGGCGCTGTCTCCATTGTCCCATCCAACCATTGCACCAGGTGGACAGCGCCCTGCTTTATATTGTATGGGTCCTCTGAGATTTTGGCGGCAAACTTTTTCAAATCGTCTGCGAGCTTCGGCTTGACCGCGTTGTGCGTGGCCCAACCTGTAGGGCAGGGCGCAGAGGTGGGGGGTGGGGCCAGGGGTTCGCCATCTTGACTCTTCGTAACCCTTCGCGCATTCTACAAGGGTTGACTGGGCCAGCGCGGGCGGGCGAAGAGAACGCGAGGGGGCGGGGCGGGGGGGGGGGGAGGAGGATAGGGAAGAGAGGGGGGGCTTCACAAAACTGAAGAAAGGGATGAAGATCTCCAAACTAGCACATAAGCACATACCATACTTACCATATCATAGCTACCACACCATACCTTCCATGCCATACCACGCCATAGCTGCCATACCACACCACACCTACAATGCCATGCCACACCTGCCATACCATACCAGCCCATACGTACCATGCCACGCACGCGCGCATGCACTGGGGCTTGCCTCGTCAGATCTAGCCCCGCGGCACGTGTATGCACTGGGGCTTGCCTCGTCAGATCTAGCCCCTCAGCATGCACGTGTACCGGGTCTTGCTTCGTCACAGACAGTTGGCGGTATCAAAAAATAATCATGCGTACCATGCCAGACCTACCTTCGCTTCCAGACCAGACCTTCCATACCATACCACATCATAGCTACCAGACAATATCATAACTACAGTACCATACCACACCTGCCACACCACCCACCCCTCCAGAAAAGGGCCCGCCTGAGCGAGGAGGGTACGCGGATACCATACTATCTATCAAGTTCCGCGCCCCTCCCACCCCTCCAGGGAGGCCCCGCCTGAGATTCTTTATGCGGGGAACTCCGTTAGCAGATTTTCAGATAATGGTTTCGGGAGACAGGTCGGCGGCTGTAGTCTGGAGAAGAGTAACCACCCCCGAAAATTCAACATCCCGGCCGACCGAGTTCCCCCCACGGTGGAAGGACTGCCAGCAACGCTGCAGGCAAAAACATAAGGGGCATGTTGGTGGCCTCGTCCGCAATGTACCACCGCGTAGTCAGAATGACGTCTCTGCTGTCGGGCGCTTCCTTGAAATTGTCTATCATAGCGTGCACGCCGGATCCTGGCAAACGCAGCGAACGCTTTTGATCTCCACGTTACAGGTTCTACAACTTGGAATAAGAAACATGTTTCAAATGTTCGCCCTATGGCCCACGCGCCATATGCGCGCATGGGGGGTTCGAGGCAGAGCGCCCCAGGACGCGCTTTGCTCGCGCCGCCTGGCCCAGATCACCTAGGAAGGGGAGGGCCTCCTGGATCTTCACGTTGCTCCTCCACCTCCTCATCCGTCTGCTTTTCTAGTTATACTATCTCTCCCTACTGAGGCTGCCCACCTCCGCCAGCTTCTCTCGTTCTCGCGTCTTGCCGCTGCCCCCCCTCCTCTTCTCTCGCCGCCCCCCCCCCCCCCCACCACCGCCCTCATTGTCCGATCGTTCCTCTGAGGCAACCGGGGGGCCAACGGTCCTGCCCGTCGCTGGAAGTCGAACTCGTGGTCCGCACCGGGACCGCCGTGCCCGTTCATTTGCACGGGCAGATTGTCAAATCGGCCGCACCAGTCGAGGATGTCGTCCACCTGGGGGGGGGCGCCGAAGAGCCAAGGGACATCGCGAGGGAGGAGGGGGGGGGCAGACGTGGAGGGGGGGAGGGCGGGATGAGGGGGATGTCGATGAGCGGGGGGGGGGGGGGGCAAGACCTGCGCGTCTCCTTGTTTTGGGATTGACGCCTGGCCATTTCGTCGCCCGCGGAAGATCGGGGGAACTGGCAACAGCAGGGGGGTCAAGAGTAATATAAATAGGTTGGACGGGGAGGGGCAGCAACAGTAGCGGCATCAGGGCCAGCGCCCACGGGCGAGGCGCCCCCCAGGCAACGATCGCCCCTCCAGTATTCCACAAATCCTTAGTATGACCCTGCCCACCTTGACAGCGTGTCCCCACAGCTCGTGGGGGCCCGCCGCTTTCGAACAGAATGCTGCCATGGCGTTCACAAAGTCATCTGGGGTGTGCAGCTCCCTCCGGTGGTAAATAACTTTACAAAGCCTACCCAGGAATTGATCGATAAGTTCATGCGTATGCCCAGTGCGCAGGAACGACACTGTAATCCTCCACGGGCGCCAGGGATCTGACGACGCAGAGAGCGACAGAGAAGGCCGGCAGCAGCAAAAACAAAGAGCAGGGGGAGTTTACTCGATTACGGAAGCCTCTTTGGAAGAGCGGAGTCCTCTCCAGGAAACGCGGGAAGATGAGGGGGGCGAGGAGTTGGAGGAAGGGCGCGATGCAGAGCCGGGGGGGAGGAGAAGGAGGAGAAGGGGGACGAGAGTGGGGCAAGGGAAAATGACGACGTCCTGTCCACCAAGCGGCTTGCCACGAGCCACGCGAGAAAACGGAAAACCTTTTGGGATTTGTTCTCGCGGCACGTATTGTCCAGGTTGATGCGGAAGTGGACGTTAGACATGTCGAGGCCGAATCTCTGTAACCGAGTGACAATGTTCGAGATCAAGTGGATGGTGTAATTCGAATCCTTTTTCCGATCTGCTTCAGACACGTAAACCATTTTGAAGTACCCATGCACGAGTGCTCCTGTCACATGCAGCCTTGGTCGGGCCACGCCAGCCAGCTCTTTGGAATGCATTACTTGAGAGCGAGGCCACGCAAATTTCCCCTGGTCAACAGCGTCCAACTCAATCAATACACGCCGGCCCGATGAAGAGATGTGCCACCCAGCCTTGCTGAATTAACTAGATCACTAAAATCAGACGCTCGACCCATCAGTAATGATGCGACAGCGATTCAGCGCTACTGCATGGAGACACTTTCAACGACTTCCTAATCGAGCGGCCGTGCCATCTAACTGCACGGGGGGCCGATTGATATCCACGCTGCACGGGTGCAGGCGGTTTGCCGAAGGCCTACATGTACAACATCACGCGTGCGCTCCCTGCTCAATGTCCGCCAAGATGCAAGTCTTTTCCGATCCAAATCTTGAGATCTCAGATGGGCAGTATAATACCGAACCTGCCTTTCCATCATGAGCCGGTCATGGGATAATGTCTTGAAACGCTTTGCCCGCACATGGGCAATGCGTGCGTAACAACCACATCGCGCATGCTTGCCCTTAATTCACTGCGCGTTCCGTTGCAATCCCAATTTCAAAACGTTGAACCCAGCCCCCGGGACCCGACTGCCCGACCATTGTGGCCTGACGGCGGGGGGGGGGCGCGTCGGAATGGCACAGCCACGCAGCGATGAGCAACTTGTATTTCAGGCATGCTGAACACATAGCATGCTGGCGGTACGTCCTGAATTTCAAACGTTTTCCGAAGTTGTTGCGGAACTCCGTGTGAAAGGTCTTCCAGCCGCACTCGCAATGCGTAGACTTGCACACTTTCCACAGCTCGTATACAGACCCAGGCGGCCCGCGAAGCCACGCGCAGGTGGCTGGAGGTTCACGGTCGCGCCTATTGCGCGCGTCATGGCGCGGCGCCTGGCAATGCAGAGGAAAAAGGTAAGTGGGGGAGGAGGCGGGCGCGTCGCGGCGCCCGACGGCGTGGAAGGGGAGGGGGAACAAGTAATCACAGGGTCGATGATGATGAGGAGGGCGAGGAGACAGAGCAGCCGCAGCTGCAGCAGCAACGATAGTTCTGAACCGTGCGAAAATAAGTGGTAACCGTTTTTTCTTTATTGGAAAAAACAACAACACGTAAAGCAACACGTGAACGTGATAAACCAACAACATGTAAACACAACGCGTATAAACAACACGTAAAACAACACGTAAAAACAACACGTAAACACGACACGCACAACACACAACACACATAAATACACAACACGCAACACTCAAACATATTGAACACCCATACGCACAACACACACGCACAACACACATACACACAACATACACAACACACAACACACACAACACACACACAACACTCACAACACACACAACACACAACGCACAACACACAACACACAGTTTGGCAGGCCAGGGGATGATACGTTTTAGGGCTAATTTGTATCCTTCGGCATCCGGTTCCACTTGTCTCCTCCTCCTCCGCCTCTTCCTTCCCCCCCCCCCGCACCTCCAGAGAAGGGGTCGGTCAGTTTTCTGTCCCCGCCGCATGGCCGATGCCGCTGGCTCCAGGTTGCTCCAGTGCCCCGTTGTTTTCTTCTGTCCCCCTCCTTCCTCCTCCCCTCTCCTCCTCCCGCCCCTCTTTTTCCTCCCTGGTGGAGCCGCTATTTTTCAAGGGGATTTCGTATCACAGTGGACTGTTTCACTTCAGGCGTGCATCGAGGACTTACTTTGAGCGTAAAAATTTGCTGGCCGGCGTAGCGGTACAAATTTAAGTGCTTCGCCTTGGCCGCCCCGCGGTACAAATTTTAAGTGTTTCGCCTTGCCGTTTTGCTGGCTGTTTCAGTGGAGGTGCAGTTATTCGGTGCCCACATGCAAAGTGTAACCATCCTCGCACCCTGAGGAGCGCTCGCATGCTCACCGGTTGCCTGCGCTTTTGTTTGCTGCGCAAAAAAATGTTAACCTCAACGTCCCTTGAGACACCCCATGTTAGCCTTGCCGAGTAAAGCCCGCCAGAATGCCGGACAGCATGCCAACTGCTCGTGCATGGCATGCACCACGTGGTGCCGTCTATGTTTCATTCATGTAAACCTTGTTTGGAATTGCGCGGCTGAACATATGTATATTGAGACGCGTGAAGGCACCCGCGCCCCCCCCCCCAAAAAAAAAAAAAACGCAGGCAACGCACGCAACACACACACAACACACAACAAACACAACACACAACACACAAGACATGCACAACACACACACAGCACACACATCACACACAACACACAATACACGCGCACACACAACACACACACACGCCCACAACACACACGCCCACAACACACACGCCCACGACACACACGACACAATAACAACACGTAATAACAACACGTAAAAACAACACCGAAACACAACACGCACGAACAAACGTAAAACACGCACAACACACACAACACACACAACACACAACACACACAACACACTCACACAACACACGCACACGCCCACAACACCACACACGACACAATAACAACACGTAAAAACAACGCGCAACACCAACACGTAAACATAACACGTCAAAACAATACGTAAACACAACACGTAACATTAACAAAGGGGGAAAATACCACGTACACACAGACACCTGCAAAACACGACACAAGCAACACATACGCACAACACACAATACACAGACACAACACCCACGCACACAACGCACGCGCACAACACACACCGTAATACACAACACGTAGCAAACAACACGTAAAAACAACACGCAAAAACAAAACGTAAAACACACACATAAAACCACACACGCAAAAAACACACAACACACAACACACAACACACACAACACACGCACGCCACACACACGCCCACAACACACACGACACAGAAACAACACGTAAAATCAACACGTAAAAACAATAAGTGGAAACACAACACACATCACACAACACACACAACACGCACACACGCCCACAACACATGCGCCCACGACACACAAAACACAGAAACAACACGGAACGTCAACACGTAAAAACGACACGTGGAAACAACACGCAAGTAACAACACACAACACACAACACACACCGCACACACAACACACACAACACACACACACGCCCACAACACACACGACACAGAACCACGTAACAACAACAACAACAAAACAACACGTCACCACAACACGAAAAACCACACACACACAACACACACGCAACCCACACAACACACAACACACACGCGCCCACACCACACACGCCCGCAACACACAACACAGAAACAACACGTAAAAACAACACGTCACAACAATGCGTAAACCACACACATCCCACACACCACACATACACATTCAACACGCACACAACACAACACACATAAACACAAAAGCAACACGTAAAAACAGTACGTAAAAGCAACACGTAGAAATAACGCGCCAAACCACACACAACACACACAATCCACGCGCCGCGCACACACAACACACATGCCCACAACACACGCGCCAACATCACACACAACACAGAAATATCACGTAAAAACAACACGTAAAAAACAACACGTAAAACAACACTCAATACAGCACGTAAAACAACACGTCAGAACAACACGTTCACACACACACACATAAGGACACAACACACAACACACCCAACACACACACACACTCAATACACACATGCCCGCAACGCACATAACACAAAAAAACACGTAAAAGCAACGCGTAAACACAACACGTAAAACCACACGCAACACGCACAGTACACACACCGCACACACACAACACACGCGCCCACGACAAACACGCCCGCAACACACACAACACAGAAACAACACGTAAAACCAACACGCAAAAAAACACAACACACAATACACACAACACACACAACACACACGCCCACAACGCACACGCCCGCAACACACACGACACAAAAACAACATGTAAACACAACACGTAAAAACAATACACACAAACAACGCGTAAAACCGCGCACACACACAACACACAACACACAACACAACGCACACACCACACAGAAAGAACACGTAAACACAACCCAGAAAAACAACTCGTAAAAACAACGCGTGCAGTGGCGGTGGGAACACGCGTCCCTAGGGTTCCCAGAATGAGCTCCGAAAGTCATCAGGGCGACTTGCAGCACGTTCTGAAATAAATCGCCTTTGGGGGTAAAACCAAAAAAAACACACACACACACACACACACACACACACAACACGACAAAGAAACGTAAACACACACACGCACACACGTAAAAACACACGTAACAACACACAACACACAACACACAACATACACAACACACACCCAAAACACACACACACACACACACGCCCACAACACACACCACAGAAACAACACGTAAAAACAGCACGTCGAAACAACACGTAAAAAACACGCCAAAACAACGTCAAAACAACACGTCAAAACAACACGTACAATCAACACAAAACAAAACACACGTTAAACATACACACGCACGAAAAACACACACACAACACATACAACACACACAACACACAACACACACGCCCACAACACGCACGCCCTTCTCCAACACCTCCTCCTCCTCCTCCTCCTCCTCGTCCTGTTGTTTTTACGGGTTGTTTTGCCGGTTGGTTTTATTTGTTGTTGCGCGTTGTTTTTGCGTGTTGTTTTTTACGTGTTGTTTTACGTTTTGTTTTGACGTGTTGCGTTTTACATGTTCTTCTTACGTCTTGTGTTTCCGTGTTGGATGTACCTATTGTTTTTTGTACGTGTTCTTTTGTTAACGTTTTGTTTCGACGTTTTGTTTCGTCATTGTTTTTGTGCGTTTGCGTTTGTTGCGTTTTGGTTTTGCGCGTTGGTTTTGCCATTTGTTTTTTCAGTGTTGATTTGACGTGTTGTTTTTTACGTGTTGGTTTTCCGTGTTGTTCGAAGTTGTTTTTTTTGTGTGTGGTGTTTGTACATGTTGTGTTACATGTTGTTTTTACGTGTTGTTTTTTACGTGTTGTGTTTTACGTGTTGTGTTTGCGTGTTGTTGGAAATGTTGGTTTTGCATTTTTTTAATTTTCTGTATTGTTCGTCGATATGTTATGTTGTTGTGTTTGTTATGATGTTGCGTTCGTTGCGCGTTTGTTGTGCGCGTTTTGTTTGCATGTTATTGTTTACGTGTTGTTATTGCGTGTTGTTGTTGCGTTGTTTTGGAATGTTGTTTTACGTGTTGTTTTGTGCGTGTTGTTTTACGTGTTGTTCTTACGTGTTGTTTTGATGGCCGTACGTGTTCGCGTTGTTGTTACGTGTTGTTTTTACGTGTTGGTTGTACGTGTTGTTTTTGCGTGTTGTTTTTATGTGTTGATTTCATGTTTTATTTTTGTTTGTTTCGTTGTCGACGTTTTCTTTTGTCATGTTTTTGTTGTTGCGTGTTGTTTTTGCGTGTTGGTTTTAGGTGTCGCTTTAACGGGTTGTTTACGTGTTGTTTATACGCGTTGTGTTACGTGTTGTTTTTGCGTGTTTTTACGTGTTGGTAGCATTTGCTGTTTAAAAATATTTCACACGTTTACGTTATGTTTTACGTGTTGCTTTTACGTGTTTTTTTTTTCGCGGTTAGATTCAACCTTCGCAGCAATGGTAGCACCGCAATGTAGGCGATGGCGCCGACGACGGGGGCGAAGGCAATGACGGTGCGGAGACAACGATGAGGGGTTGGGGTCGGGTGAAGAGTAAGAGGAGGGGGGGGGCCACCCCCTTCCGCCCTTCTTCCTCTAAACAAGCAACCGCGGAGACCGACCGCCGACTGGGCTGCCAGCAACCGCTGACCGGAGGGGGAGGAGGAGGAGGTCAACGACAACGCCCGTCGCGGCGAGGGCGAGGGGGAAGTGGGGCTGGATAAAGAGGGGGATGACGCTGGCCACCAGGGGGGGGTGAGACCCAACTCGATCACGCTTCGCACCAGCAGAGCCTGCGTCGATTACGTGCAAGAGCCAGCCGGACGACCAGCTAATGCAGCTATTGGCGCCCCCGGCTCGCCAGCCGAACGACCGGTAAATGCAGCTCTTGGCGCCCCCAGCTCGCTGGCCGAACGACCGGCATGCGCAGCTAATTCACCGGGCGCGCCCTTCAGAGAAGACGACGAACAAAACTAACGCCCCGCGAAAACCTGAGACAAACGTAAGAAATCAACAGCCAGGAAGATGCCCAAGGCCCCCGGTCCGCGACCGTCGCTCGCAGCCCAGTTGCCGCCCCCGACGGGGGGGGATGGGGGGCGACCAGGCGGGCGCGGAATGGCGGGAGAAGGAGGGGAGAAGAGGAGGAGTCGGGGGGGGGAATGGGGGAGCGGGGGGGTGGCGGGGAGGGGGGTGGGGGGGAGAAAAGCGAGGAAGGATGACCAACAGAAAGAGCAGTACCAGCCGCATCAGGGGCGACATGCGGGAGGAGGGCGAGCATGACAGGGAGGGGGGGAGGGGGGGGGGCGGGGGGTCCAAGGAGTAGCAGCAGCCGCAACAGCGGGAGGGCGAGGTGAAGCCTCGGCAGCGGCATCAGCAGCAGCAGCAGCAGCGCTACCAGCAGCGCTACCAGCAGCACAAGCAGCAGCAGTAGCAGAGCGACGGGAACCTGGAGAGCACAAGGGGGAGCAAGAGCGGGGGCATGACCAGTTTGATGAGGAAGGGGCGCATGTGGGGCAGCGAAGCTGATTGCTAAATATTTCTTCACTCCGCAATCTGGATTCCACTTCTGGCACTCGCCCGCCGGCGCGCACGCGATGCCCGGGCCGCGTTTGCCTGGCGCGCGCAGCGATTCATGCAGCATTGCGGGTCCCGAAAGCTATTTCTGCACATGCTAGCGTATAGTTTTCGCATCGTGCAATGCTGATTCGAAGCTGAAACATAAACTCGGGCCGCACGAGGCAATGCACGTGGTCGTCGGGGGGGCCCCCGCTCCAGGCACGCATGCCCCCCCTCGGGCCCTCCTCGCGCGCAGTTGCATCGCCGCCCTCCCCTTTTCCCGCGGGATGCCTTCTTCAGGAGGATCCTCGTTGTCGCCATCTGAGTCGGCATCCTCAGGCAGCTCCTCAGCCACAGTCTCATACATATGTTCAAGAAAGGCCCATATGTCCTGCCGCACTGATGATTGCACGCCGCGCCGAATGTTGGACCCATTGGCGCCATACCCGCTGCCCAACGCGTTGGGCCCCAGGAGAATTGCGCCATGTGCACTCCCCAGACTCGTTATCCTAATGATTCATTTTGCTCGTTGTCCTCCTCCGCCTTGTCACCCCCCTCATCCTCGTGCTCATCCTCCGTCTTCTCCTGCTCTTCCCGTAATTAGCTTCTGCTCTTCTTGTTTCTCCTCGTTCCCCCTCACACCCCTCGCCCGTCGAACAGCGCAAGGGGCGCGAGCCGGGGCGGGCGCAACCGAATGATCGAGAGTCCACTGGCGCCGATTCCGCGCCACCAGCAGCAGCTCTCATCAGACGTCTAAACCGTTTGGTTCCAATCTTCAGCCACGCCATGAACGCGGACCGGCCCATGCCGACGCCGCGCACGGTAAGTTGCCCTGCGCGCGACAAGTGCGCCTCCCTGCATACAGCAAAAATACGGCTGTCCTGGTCCAGCTTGTGCATCGAATCAAAAACCGCCGCTGCCCCGCGGTCTAGGCAGTGCCTGGAGTTTGATGGCCGCGACCCTCCTCCTACGCCTCGGCATCCCCCTCCCCCTCCTCCTCCACCTTCTCTTGCCCCTGCCCGCTCCTCCTCCTGGGGCCCCCGCCCCTGTCCCCCGCCCGCCTTTCCTGCCGCCTCCTCCTCGCGCCCCCCCCCTGCGGCCCCGTCGCCCCGCGCCCGCCGCCGCTCCTCCCTGCCCCCCTCCTCGCAGGCGACAGCCGACGACCTGGCGCCGACGGGCGCCATCAGAGGCAGCTTTTCCTCTGTCGCCCCCCCCCCTTCTGCCTTTCTCAATCCCGAGCCCAGGGTCGATGGAGTGGTCGATCGTGGGTTCCATACGGAGACCGGTGGCAAGATCTGAGCGGCGCCCCGTCGGTGCCCCGCGGTGTCATTGTGGCGCGGTCGACAGTGGTGTCGAAAGTGAAACCCATTGTGAGATTGATAGTGAGACCTATATTGATATCGGTAGTGGGATCGATGATGAGATCGGCGACGCGATCGATAGTGAGAGGGCAATGAGCTCGACAGGGAGATCGCTAGTGGTTGCCACGGTTAGACCGATAGTGAGGTCGATCGAGTGAGACCGATAGCGTGGTCGATAGTGACATGAATAGCGGGATCGACCGAGCGATATCTATCGAGCGAAATCGATAGTGAGACTGACCGAGTGAGATCCATGATGATATCGATTGCGGGACGAATCGTGCGATCGATCGAGTGGCATCGAAACATATCTCAATATTGATAGCGATATCGATCGAGTGATACGCTGGCTCCTTGACCCCCTCCCCAAGCCTCCTTATCACCAGAAAGGTGGTCTTATAGGTAATCTGCTCTTGGACGCCCTATTGGAGTCATCTTGGGCAAACGTGGGCGCTCTGACCGCTCGCGACGCTTCCCGTCCAAGCCCGGGGGGGCGGGGAGCAAAGCTGCAACGAATCCAGTTTCCATTGCTGGAGCCGATCATCAGTAAGGCATCCGCTCGCCCTCTAGCGAAGGCCCCGGCGGAGACGCTCAGTGAGGCTCCTTTCTCTCACATTTATCCCCATCGCATTTTGCCTCTCTCACTGACCCCGCCCGGATTTTTCACCCATATTACACCATGTCACTCGAAGATGCCGTCTCCTGGTCTCGCCCGCCATTTTCCGACTGCCCCTTCTCCCGCCCGTCCCCTTTTCTCGCGTTTGCTGTCCGGCCGCCCGCCCATCCTGCCCAAACAAAAGTTGGCGGCGTTGCGCATCGCAAGTTTGGTTGATTTGCGGCGTTTGTTGGAGAAGCATCGATCTGTCAGCTCATGAGATGGCAGGTCATCGTCCGATAAAGTCGACACGTTTGCTGGCATGATCCGAAATCGCTATGGAGGAGAATGAGGAGGGGGCGAGGCGGAAAACTCACGGGGCCTTGCATACGTCCACCAGCAGGGCTAAAAGACGCTGAAGCAGAAGGGCGAAGTCAACTCATCAATACCAAAGTTGAATGCACATTGCCACGTCAAAGCGTGCAGAGCCCCACAAGGGCCCCACCCATGAACCTCGAACCCGACCGAAACCGAGCCTGGAGCCCCCCAGGGCCAGCAAGTCGCAGGCCACCACAAGGGGCCAAACCCGGGGTCACGCGACCGCGACGACGACGACAACGGTGACGATGACGACGAGGACGACGAAAACAAGGGAGGATGAGGGAAGGGAGGGGGGAGGGGAGACGGAGGAGGGGGGCCTGGGCGGCCGGGAGCAAGGGGCAGCATAATTGCATTCAACCCCTGGGGGGGGGGCATCCGAACCCCCCCGCAAGAGGGCCTGAAGATGGCTCGCAAATGGCTGTAAAGCTAACGCAATTTAGCGCAGCGCGCTCCCCCAGAAGGAGGCGGCTTGTGTTAAGTGTGCGTGTAGCTCTGGGCGTTGTAGGGAGCCTTTCGGGGCTTGCAAGAGCCTCTGGCGCAGCCCCAAGAAGGCCCAGCAGGGCCCCGCGAGGGCGCCAAAATGGTTCCAAGAGGACATTGACTTCAACATACATTTAGCACAACACGCTCTCCCATCAGTAGGCGGCTCATGCCACATTTGCTTTGAATTCGTCGCACTCTTGGAAGCCTCTGGAGCCTTCAGAAAGCTCCAGTTCGGCCCTCAGAAAGCCCAGCGCCATCTATTTTCCAGGGGGGCCGCCGCCACCGCCGTCGCCGCCGGCGTCGCCGCCGCCGCCGCCTCCGTCGTCGTCGTCGTTGTCGTTGTCGTCGTCGTCGTCGCCGCCGCCGTTGCCGCCGTCGCCGCCGCCGTCGCCGCCGCCGCAGTCTTCGCCGTCGTCGTCGTCGTCGTCGTCGTCGTCGTGGTCGTCGTCGTCGCCGCCCCCGCCGTCGCCGCCGCCGCCGCCGCCGCCGTCGCCGCCGCCGTCGTCGTCGTCGTCGTCGTCGTCGTCGTCGTCGTCGTCGTCGTCGTCGTCGTCGTCGTCATCGTCGTCGTCGTCGTCATCGTCGTCGTCGTCGTCCTCGTCGTCGTGGTCGTCGTGGTCGTCGCCGTCGCCGCCGCCGTCGCCGCTGTCGCCGCCGTCGTCGCCGCCGTCGTCGTCGCGGTCGTCGTCGTCGCCGCCGTCGCCGCCGCCGCCGTCGTCACCGCCGCCGTCAAGGACGACGGCGAAGGCGACATCGGCGACGGCGACGACGACGGCGAAGGAAACCTGGGGACGAGCGAGGAAGGGGGTGAGGGGAAGCAACGGAAGGAGCTGGAGGAGGAGGGGGGGAGGAGGAGGAGGAGAAGGAGGAGGAGGGGAGGAGGAGGAGGAGGAGGAGGAGGAGAAGGAAAATAGGAGGAGGAAAAAAGAGGAGGGGAGGAAAAGGAGGAGGGATGAGGAGGAGGAGGAAGGAAGGAGGAGGGGAGGGAGGAGGAGGGAAGCAGGAGGAGGAGGAGGAGGAGGAGGAGGAGGGAGGAGAGAGGAGGAGGAGGAGAAGGAAAAGAGGAGGAGGAGAGGAAGGAAGGAAGACGAGGACGAGGACGAGGAGGAGGACGAGGAGGAGGACGAGGAGGAGGACGAGGAGGAGGAGGAGGACGGGGAGGAGGAGGAGGAGGAGGAGGATAATGAGGAGGAGGAGGAGAAGGAGGAGGAGGCGAAGGAGGGGGAGGAGGAGGAAGAGGAGGAGGAGGAGGAGGAAGAGGAGGAGGAGGACGCCAACGACGACGACTGACGACTACGACGAGCATGCGCCTCGAGGCTCAGGCCCCCTGGCACCAGCGTAGAGCCCCCTTGCGCTAGCGTCTGTCCCACCATGGCCCCGGCATCGAGCAAGTTGACTCGCGTCTGCATCTACACGCGGACGAGTTCGCAGGCAAATGTAGGCGCCAATGTCCTCAACACGCACGGGAGAGGGAAGGGCAAACAGGAGGGGGGTAGGAGGGGAAGGGCGGCGGGCATGGGCAAGAGAAGGCGGGGGAAGGGGAGGCAGTGAAAAAAATATCACAGCAAGGCGATTCGAAGGACTCCGAGAGCAGGCAGGTGCGCTGCTGCCAGAACTACGCTCGCCCCAACAAGTTAGTGGCGAAGGCATGTGACATTTTCCACGAATGCATTTCGGGCACCGAGGACCGACGGGTCGGCCAAGCCACTCGGACATCCAGCCGGGAAGCTGGCCAAGGCAGCCAGCAGTCCCTGGTGACTATTCGGCTCCCCCGGTCGGCCCTCAATGACTTTCTGCATTCCCTGGCAGGACTTGCAGACCAGGCCGACCTTCAACAGAATGATTGATCATTGCTACAAGAACAAGCCGAATGCCTGCGGCAAGGCCCGCCGCCGTGCCACTCCAGCATGCTCGGTAGCGATTGTTCGAGAGGGCACCGGAAGCCTTTTGGATGTTCGTTGGGATATCGTTGGGGGCCACTCGTGGGAACGCCCGGGGGCCATCTTGGCGGCTTCGGTGGCCTCCCAGGCGCGTCTTGGAAGGCATTTTGGGCGTCTTGGACGCCTTTGTGTGTGCGTGTGTGGCTGGACGCCGACAGAGCCTCGACAAGAAGGGGCGGCGCATGCAACGGGGCGCGGCCAGAGAAGGGGTGCTCCCTTCGAAGATTAGAGAAACCGTGCCGGGCAAAAACTGGCATTCCAACACGTCTCAACGTGCCAGGGGGCACAGTGGCGGGTATTTCGACCATTCTGTTCGAGGACAATACCCGCCTGGCGCGGGACGTCATTGTCCAGGAGATGGGGGTCCAGTGGTTGACTGAAGCAGGAGACCGGCTCGAGTAGTAGTCGAGTGGGTTGGGCACGGGGCACTGGGCTCGGAGGGAGGAAAGGCGATGCCAACACCACCAGGGGGGCCCACCTCCAGCGAGGAGGTCCACGATGCATCCCCGAGCTGGATGCTGGGGGTGTCTCGAGCGGGAGGGGGGTCCACACCGCCAGGGAGACTCCCCTTGCCTCCTCGCACCTCCTCGCCCCGCTGGCGTCGGCGTCGCCATTCCTCGTTCCCACTGGGCGCGGCGAAGAGAGCGCGGAGGAACATCGGCAGCGCAAGGCGCGCCGGCGCGAGGGAGGGGAATCGAACAAGTCAATGCACTACTTCCGCGCCACCATCCTGCTGCCCTTCCTGCTCTCTTCGTTTTGCACTGCTTGACTGATCCGTTACTTTTCAGCTGTTTGGCTCTAGGCAAACAGAAAAGGAGCGAGCCTGCGGCCGCGCGCGAGCGTCGGCCGGCGGGCCGGCTTCTTTCCTTCAGGGTTACCCCCTTGCTAGCTTAACGGTATTCCCCTTCCCCCCCATGACATCGGCGGAGCCCGCTGAGCATGGAACACATTGCACGGATTATGAATATCCAGGCAAAAGGCTGAACATTGTGCCCCCGCTCCCACCCCTCCCCCTGGAGGATTCAACCTCGTCAACTGCACGAACCCGTCGCAGTTCCTCGACGACACCCCCAGCAACACTCTTATCCGGCAGATACTCGGCGCGGTCGCCGAGTTCGAGCGCTGCCAGATCGTCCAGCGGCTCAAGAGCGCCCGGGTGCAGAAGCTAAAGGTTACGACGAAGAAGACGTTGTCTAACAAGCCGAAGATTACGGGGAAGAAAAACCGCCTGGAGCTCGCAGAGGGGCCTCGCATTAAGAGGGCCCTGGCGACGTGGGTGCGCAAGGGGAACCTCGCGGCAGGTGATCTCACGAAGGCGAGGCGCGCCCTGCTGATAGCCGGGATCAAGACGAAGGCAGGGTGCCCAGTGAGCCTGGCCCAAACGGCCACTTGGATCCGCGCGCTGAAGCAGCGCAAGCCGTAGTTGCACCGGGCGCGGGCTAAGCCCCGCGCGCGGCGGGCGCCGCGGCGCAGGGGGTTCCTCCACCGACTGGAAGGGGCGACGGGGGGGGGAGGAGGAGGAGGAGGGGAGGAGGAGGAGGAGGAGGAGGAGGAGGAGGAGGAGGAAAAAGGAGGAGAGGAGGAAGGAGGAGGAGGAGTAGGAGTGGGAGCTGGATAGGGTAGGAGAAAAGGAGTTAGGGGTAGGTGGGAGGAGAAGGAGGATGAGGGAGGAGGTAGGAGGAGCGAGGAGGCGGACAGGGGGGAGGAGGAGGAGGAGAGGGGGAGGAGGAGGAAGGGGAGGAGGAGGAGGAGGAAGAGGAGGAGGAGGAGGAGGAGAGGTGGAGGGGGGGGGGGAGGAGGAGGAAGGCCGCCCGCGGCGCGCGCCCCTACGTGGGTTCCAGGACCTCTGGGGGGGAGGGCCACAGAGCCCCCCGCGCGTGGGCGCGCGCGCGGAAGGTCCACTTCGCCACTCTGGGCGCGCAAGATAAAGTTACATGCGGAAATCTGCGCGCGGGCGTGCCTGTCCAGATTTCCGCGGCCGCCCCAGAGGACCAGAGGCCGCAGCGTGGCGCCCGTGGGCCGCCTCGCGCGCCAGAGGGCGCGCGTGTCCAAGGCCTGCGAAGACCCCCTGGGCGCGCGCGAAGAGTTACATGCGAACATCACCGCGCGGGCGTGGCTGTCCACTTTCCTGCGGCCGCCCGAGAGGCCCAAAAGGCCGCAGCGCGGCACCCTTCGGGGCGCCCTGCGCGCCAGGGGGCGCGCGTGCACAAACTGCGCGCGCGCGGACCCTGTCGGCGCGTGAGAAAAGTTGCATGCGATAGTTGCTCGCGCAGTCATGGGGGCCGCTCGCACGGGAGCTGCTGCCTCGCCGCGCAGTACCTTGCACGGGTAAAAATCGCCCCACGCGCACGATGAAATTACGCGGGCCGTCCCAACCAAAAGCTCAACGCATAGACAGTTTGAGAACATCAACCCCGCTAGTAGGTGGGATGGCAGCTGCTGCGTGGCAGCATGCGCTGGACGCATCTCGCACCGCCGACGCACCGTTTCGAATCGCCACCTTGGGCGTGTCACGGAATGCCCCGTCGGGCACCCCGCGGTTTCCGCTGGGCGCTGGCCGTCGCCGCCGTGCAGCAGCTATCTGGTACAGCTGCTGCTCTCGCGGGTTGCTCCTTGCACCAGGGCGGGGTGGGGGGTCCACCCCGCCAAAGCTTGTTTGAAAAGGGCGGAGAAGGATGACGAGGAGGCACAGCGTCGGATGCTAGTCCATCCGCCGCCCGATTAAAGTGGCTTCGCTTGGGACTCGACGGCGTTCTGGCGGAAGGCGGATGCCTCCACCAGAGATCTCTGTCGGCCTCGGAGCGGCAACCAGAACGGCAACCTTTACTTGAGGACGAGGAGGAACAGGATGATATTTTTTTTGCCCGCGGTTCCAGCCCACTGCAGCTGTCACGCGCGGCGCCACCGCGGTGCCCCGCGCGCGCGGGCGTCAGGCGAGCCCGCCCGAGCGGAACAGGAGAAGGAGGACGGGGCAAAGGGGAATAATGATGAGGCAGGGGAAGAGCCAGGGCTGGAGGGCGAGGGCGAAGACGGCGACCATGACGAGGAGGGGGGGGGCAAGTGGATGGCGGTCATCGAGGAAACAATTCATCCAGTAATTCGATACGGCAGATCACTCGCTGCACGATTTGCGCCTGCGCCCGCTCGGCATGGCCCCTCTGCACGTTTTCAAGACTACTCATTTCTTAAGAAATAAGTAGTTGCCAACGACGTATTCAAATAAGTAGTTGAGCCAAGTTCAAATAAGTAGTTGAGCCAACGGGCAATGGGCGCAGCGGGGGCGTGGGGGAGTAGGAGGGGAAAAGGAGGAGGAGGGGGAGGAGGAGGAGGAGGAAGAGGAGGAGGAGGAGGAAAAGGAGGAGGAAAATGGAGGGGGCGGAGGAGGAGGGGGAGGAGGAGGGGGAAGACGAGAAATGGCACCAGGATAGGAGGACGCGGCGGACGAGGGGTGAAGATGAGGAGGAGGAGGCGCAAGGAGAAGATCATGAGGGAGGAGGCCGCGAGGAGAAAGAGGGGGCGAGGGAGGGGGGGAGAGGGGGGAAGAACGGAGGGGAGGGGGTGGAACACCTTGCCTCCCTGCCTCCACGCATGGGCTCTGCCCGCCGTTCCCCGGGCGGCCTCCTGGAACCTTCAGAAAAGATTTTGTTTCGGATGTTTCGGGGGAGGTTTATGGCAACATCCGCGGCGACCGCTTAGGCTGCCTGTTGCCGGAAGGCGGCCAAAAAACTAATCACTCAAAATGGTCCCGCGGGGTGCTCTGGGGCACGCATGCGGTTTGGTCGGACCCGCTGGGGCGACCGACCCCGCGCAAGGAATTGAGGGGAGGGGCAGGAGGGGAATGGGGAAGGGGGGGAGGGACAGGGAAAGCGGGGGTAAGTGGGGGAGGGTCGGGCTGGGCGAAAGGGGGGGGATAGCAAAGGGGGGGTTTGAGAATCAGCTCGCGTAGCTGATTTCCCCGGCGCCCCCAGGCGCCGGAGGCGGGCCGAAAAAAACTACATGCAGCAACTTTCGCAACCCCCCCTTTCCCTATCCTCCCTCTTCGTCCGGCCCGATAGTGGGTGGGACGTGGAGGGAGGGAGGGCCTTGCTGATCTCTCTCTCTCTCTCTCTCTCTCTCTCCCTGTCTCTTTCTCAATCCCTCCCTTCCTCCCTCCCACCCTTCCTCCAGCTCTGTGCCCCGCCCTCCTCTCCCGCCCGGGCACCCTGACCTCGATCCTTGTTACAGCGATCCTTGTTACAGCACTGCGTGGCTGCATCCGTGTCGTGGGTTTCGGTGTGTTTTTCGTGCGTTGGGCAGTCGCTGGGCCTCGGTCGGCCCCGAAAGATTCCCACTGACCTCGGGAGGCCTCTTGAAGCCCAGGCTTCAACGACGCGATTCGTTCAATCCCGGCGCCTTTCCGCCATTTCGGGCCTTGGGGGCCGTTCCTGGGCCCTGGAGCGATCAAAAGACCATCCAGTTCGTAGAATTCGTCTCAGGGGACGGGTCGGTGCCGCTTGTGATGATGATGATGCTGATGGTGATGGTGGTGGTGATGATGATGATGACGATGATGGTGATACTGATGATGGTGATGATGCGTATGATGGTGGTGATGAGGACGGTGGTGATGATGATGGTGATGACGGAGAATATGATGAAGATGATGGTGGTGATCATGGTGATGATGGTGATGATGATGATGATGATGGTGATGATAATGATGGGTTACGGTTGCGATGACGACGGCGATGATGAGGAAGAGAAGGACGATGATGATGGTGATAATGATGATAAGAGGAGAAGAGAGGGGGCAACGGGAGGGGGGGGCGCGGGGCGCTGTCTCTTCAAAACGAGAACCCAACACCACATGACGGAACAAAGCAAAACAAACACAACAACAACAATAACAACCACAACAAAAACAGCAACAACAACAACAACACATCCTACACCAACGTTGCCGCTAAACAATTATGAAAGCTTGGTCGTGTAAAGCTCAAAGGAGCATCAGAGCGAGAGCTCCGCATCGGAAAGGAGTCGCCCTCCACCCGTTTACAAAAGCGACGTTGGAACGATGGTCGCAAAACCCGCGAAGGCTTGAAAGGGCTTGAAAAAGAGCCGCCCTCTACCCGTGATGCTGTTGGGAAGTGCGAGGCGAATGTGCGCGGGGCCAATAGCGACAACCTCGCTTTGAAAATAAACCTACCTCCATGCGCAATCGTTGCACGCCTGCGACTTGTAAAACAAATTCACACGAAACAGTGGCAAAACGCACATTTTGAAACCCACCCGCCCGCCATCCGTGAAACTGTTGCAAAATATGCAGAAAAGAATGCGCACGGCGAGAAGACGCGAGCACCACCCGCTTTCCATGCGCAAGATCCGCCACCGCTCTTGTGCGTTCCAGGAGATCTCCGCGTGACTTTTCCAGAGACAAGAGCGCGTTGTTGGGGGCGTGCATGTCCAACATGGCCTAAGATCGCCCCAACCACCGTCCTGGAGCCCTCTCGGACGCGTCCTGGGCCATCTTGGAAGCCCTGGAGGGCGGCTCAAGAGGCCAAACTCATCAAAACACATGTGCTTGGTATGGTGTTGATATTACCATCCTTTTTGGTCTTTCGGGCGTCCACGTCGGCCCAGAGCGCCCAAGACCGCCCAAAAACTAGCCGAGAGCCCCCAAGAGGGGCCAAACATTACCCCAAGCAGGCCCAAGA